GCCGGTTGAGCTATAGGCGCCGAGCCGAGAACAACTTTCAGGGTTTAATTTTTTTCCTTTGAACTTAAAGCCTGAACAAACATTTGAGAAACTTTTTTTGATAATGAAAAGATAGTCGTATTTCCTTCCTGCCTGTAGCTATGCTATTAGCTGCCTATTAGACTTAGATATCTCAACTGCCAGAAACTGCAATAATGGAAGAGAAGCTTTTAGAAAGGCTTAAGTTTCTGAAGCATCACACTCCCCAAAGTCTTTATTATACATCATGACTCTCAAACTTACAAAGATATCTCAAAGTAGTGAAGCACTGTTTTGCCTTACCTTGGGATACTGCTTGACAGGTATCAGCACTCGCTCTTTCAGCTTCATATTCTTATGAGAAAATAAATCCAAGTAATTCTCTTCATCATCCTTTTTTGAATCTCCCTTCTGAATCTTCTCAATTTCTGAATAGGAAAGACAATTTATTTTTGCTCTGGTAAATAAAAGTGAATTCCAAAGTCTGCTTATAGCAATAACATGGATTACCATGTAATGAGACCAAACAGTTCAGATGAATGTGCTATTTTCAGACAGAAACTGGCTGAAAGCACCAACGCCATATGTCACAGGGGTCCTCAAACTTTTTAAACAGGAGGCGAGTTCACTGTCCTGTAGACCGTTGGAGGGCCAGACTGCGGGCCCCAGGACGAGTGGGCTGCTAAGCAGGATAGGCAGTGGTGGCAAAAACAGCCAGCAGGCCAGATAATTGTCCTAGGTGGGCTGCATGTGGCTCGTGGGCTGGAGTTTGAGGACACCTGCATATGAGGTTGACTAGGAAACCCAAAGCCCACTTCTATTAATAAACAGTGTGGGGGGGAAAGTATCAATAGTATACTTTTCCACCCTTACCTGGAGTCTTAACAACAAACACATTCAAACGTTTCTTGACTTTAAAAAACCAATTTAAGGCTCAGCGTCTGTGGCTCAAGTGGCTAAGGCGCCAGCCACATACACCTGAGCTGGCGAGTTCAAATCCAGCCTGGGCCTGCCAAACAACAATGATGGCTGCAACCAAAAAACAGCCAGGCGTTGTGGCGGGCGCCTGTAGTCCCAGCTAC